TCGAAAGACTGCATTTCTGACTTGCTAACCAATATATTGAGGATTTTACGGTAGTTCTCAAGATTTTAAAGAACGTGAATGAGGTGTACAAAATATTTATGCTAAATGGTGGTGATTTTCTCGAAAACCATAGGATGTAAGGAACGAAAGGGATCTGAACTTCTATCACTGAGGAAAGAATTGGCACACTAAATGTTCGCGGACTGCAGCAGTATGGGTTGACTGCAGTCGTCAACCTAATTTTAGCTACTCTCCATGACCTGTGAATTTTTCTTCCATTTTTGTTCAGAGGACGGAGGAAGGAAAAGAGGGTTATGGACGACGACTACGCAGTAGTGCGTTCCTGTAAGTGATAGGGCAAGCAAATTGTTTATCAACAAAAGCTCTGTTAAAAATGTTTGAATGCATTTGTTTCCGGTATCGCAATATGCATTTGCCATGTGTAGCTATCGTGAAAAGAAAGCCGATCCAGCAGAATTCATACAGCTTGATGGATTCACAATCGATTATATGCCGGAACCCGATCCAGGTCATTTGATTGTTCAGTTGGTAGAAGATGCAAAACATCGGTACTTAAATATGTTTTATTACTGCTCGTTTTTGAGCCGTTTTATTTCCACACATCTGAAAAAAAAATCTTTGTAAGACATCTAGGTGTTTTGAACGATGCAATCAGTCGTTATTCTTATATGGTTCGGCCTGTAATTTGAGCTCCTTTACCTCTAGATCGGAAGTCTCAAAATATATCCTTTTATTGGTATTAATTGTTGAGGGCTTTTTTAGACTTGTATAATCAAGGAGGCAAATATTTTTTCACAGCGATCAAAGAAGGCGATGAATTAAAATTTGCGACGGATGACGAAAACGACAGGCATTTGTGGGTGCAGGTATGTGTTCATTCTTGAAAAGCGGGCATTTGATAAACTGAAAAATGAAATATCGACGAGTTTGATAATCGCCGTCCGAAATAGCGAAATAAGCTCAGAGCGTATTTCCATCTCACACTCGTTATTCAGTAATTTTGTCCATGCATGTTGCGTTTTCTCTCTTGCTCATATCCTTGCAGTTTAGCGCCTGAAACCGTGTTTGGCATCCCTTCGGCTGCATATAGCCGCTTCATCTTAGAAGCTCTGCTCACTGTGAAAACTACGTTACTTGCGAAGTGACTGCACTTGGCTGCCTCCACTTGGTTTTTAAATCACCTTTTCAAAACTGTTTGAAAAATATTATTTCAAGGCAGGCGGTGAAAAACTTAAGCAACACTGGGTCTTTTTCTGTCTCACGCTGTTCTTGGTCGGTATATGAAGTGGGGTGAAAGAAGTGTTATGTTCCGTTCAGCGTTGTTGGATGATTTTTCTTAATCGACAACTAGGGGACAGAGGAGGACAGCGTTAAATAAAGTGCTTCCGGGTGGATACTACGAGCTGGTTTAGTGAAGAAATGCGGTTCTTGTGCTGTAATTATTTAGGAACCTAGCTTGCTCCCTTAACTATTGTTTTAAGTTTGTCTTGTTGGGGAGTTAATAATAGTAACTGCGAAC